TCCATATATTTAATATTTGTAAAAATGTTTTTTCCCATACAAACAGCAACTTGTTGGTTTAGGAAACCAGAGACAAAAAAAAAACTTAATAGGCAGCAAATTTAAAAACTATTTTATTCTACAAAGAATCTGAAGTACCATTTTTCAACCTAAACAACTCTTTTAAATTTTTGAAGGAGCGTGTTTATGTAGATTAATGTTGGCAAAATATATCTGCTATTTATTACTTGTTTGGGAGAGTAATAATAATTATAATAATAATAATGATAATAATACAAAATTTCTATGTGTTAAACACTGGTGGACAGTAAAATCAGTCCACCAAACATCCAATACCTCAGRTTTATAAAATACAAAAGGTAGATAAGCTGCTATATGAATATGAATGTTTGTATATTTGTGGGTTTTTTTGTTTGTTTTTTACCTGTGGAATAAGTGTCAAGCAAGCAATAATTCCTAAAAAGTACATATTTATAAAAAGCAAGCAGATACCTAAAGTAAATAGTGGTAAACTTGTGTCTCTTGTTTCCAGTGGTCTGCAGTGACACCTYGGAGTGTACCATTGATCTGTGGCACAAGGATGACTTTCATCAACTGCTCATGTTCTTCCCTTCATATTCAAGTAGTGTTGTGTAGCCAGAGTCGCTCATCTTTGAATAGCTTATACCGAAACCAAACTCTCGGACTGCGTCGGGGGTCGGGGGGTTTCTGACGTCACAGAAAGGATGTGTCGCTCTCCGGAGAAGTCTTTTCATAGTTTCACCCTCTTTAACATGCTCATGCTACTTTCCAGTTCATGTCATGAAATCTGTCATGTTCTCATAATAACTTTGTTGTATGTGGTAATATATCATATATGACTTTTTTTTCTACAAAAGTGACTTTCTGATGTTTTCCCCCTCAAATAACAGGCGGCGTAACAAAGTCCTTAAACATGCTCCATTTCATTGAGTCTCTGTCCACTTCTAAAAGTGCAACTTTAGGATCCTTTGCTGGGCTGTGTGACGGGGGTTCTTGTGTCCATGTATGTCTCTTTGCAGGTTTCAGGAAGRTGACAGTTGGCCTGCAGGGACAGCTGGGTCTGCAGGTCCTTCACCACGCTCTCCAGGCTCTGTCGAGCTTCTCTTTCCTGCTGCAGCTCCTGCCTCAGCTGCTCCCGGTCAGCCTCTGCCTGCTGCAGCTGCACGTGCAGCTCTTCAATCTGCGCAGAACAACACACACACACACACACTCAGTGCAAAACATAACGTAGGCTAGAGGTCTGCAACCCTGGTCCTTGTGCTCCAGTTTCCTATATGTTTTAGATGGCTCTCTGCTTCAACACACGTGACTGAAATKAACGAATGATTGACAGGCTTCTGCTAAACTTGATGACATTCTGAGTAGGCCATTTAATTATTTGAATCAGATGTGCTGAAGCAGGGGAACAACTAAAACATGCAGGACAGTGAGGCATGAGGAAAAACAAGGCACGAATTCCTGTAGATTTTGGTGAAATTTGGGACTTGTCAACACTAACAGTGACATTTTCCATGCTCATGTTTTTATTGTTTTTGTCCATAAATACTAGAATAACAGAGATTTTGGAAGAATCGATAAAGATTCAGCCCAAAGAAAAAATTCTTTGTTCTTTTGGCTGTTTTTCTTTTTGCATGGGTCTCCCCAGCGAGTGAACTCGCATGTAACAGTTGTTTTTATGCCAATTTGCCCTTTTGGATGCAACAAGGGGCTCAAACCTGCAGCCTCAGGATTACAAGGCTGGAGCACTGACCACTGAGCTGCTGCGGCTGTAAAAAAACAACCTGTAACTGTTTTAGGAGATTCACTRGCTGTGCTCACAAACAGTTTTTAGTGTCGTGAATGTGAATATTATAAACRTACACTGGCCGAGCATTTGTGTTCCAACATCTTGGCAATTTCTACATTATCAACGAGACATCTGCGGAGAAGAGAAGAGGCGTTTTACCTGAGCAGAGTATTTAACGCGAAGACGTTCAGCCTCACATCCCTGGTCGCACGCCCGCACTTGTCTCTCTCTCTCCAGCTCCCGTTTCAGCCGCCCACAGGACTCRTCTGCCTCCCTTATCTTCCTCTCCCAGTCCACGCGAAGGCGCTCGATCTCCTTCCGCAGGTTGCGTTTGGCTTCGATGGCATCGCGGAGACGTCCCTTTTTCGCCACCTTTACAAACTCCAACTCCTGGCAAAYCATTTTAGAGGGGACACGTTTAAAAAACTAACACCCCCGAAACACCTGAAGTGTGCTGTGATTCTTCTCAGGGAAATACCTGCTGAAGGCTGCGTTTGGCTTGCAGAGCTGCTGACAGCTTCTCCTCCTGCTTCACCCGCATTCTGGCAATCTCCTGCAGGATTTTCTCYCGGGCCTCTTTGGTGTCCGGGCCAGTGCACAACATCTGCCTCATGGTGTCGATCTCTGGGCAGATGCTTTCCGGCAGCCAGGGAGTTAAATCCTGAACGGGAGCGAGCCTCTGAGGCGACAGGGTCTGAGTGATGCTGGTGGGAGCTGTGGGAGGTAGAGCCACAGAGGAGGCGGAAACAGGACCTGAGGAGAGACGCGTGCAGGAAATTTGGATGTTCAGCTACTCAGAAAAAGCATGTTTCGACTTTTGTTTGACACCAGGTGGCGCAGTTGTACTAGAATCCAACTCACTCTCTTGTGACTCTTTTTATTCAATAAAATAAAACCACAGAAAAAATGGTGTCTTATATAAACTAAGTGCGTAATTACATATGTGTTGGTTTATTTTGGTTCCAACTATTTCAAACTTACCATCATCACAGTCATCCACATCGATCTCTCCATCCGTGTCCATGTCCTCCACTCGACCAGCGGCTGCAGAGTGGGGCGGTTTTGTTGACGGCTGTGGACCACCGTTATGCAGCTCTTGAATGGGAATGATTTTAGACTCCCTGCCAGAAATRTGAGCGTCACTGGGATGGAGCAGAGGAGCCATGGGAGCAGATAGGGTTTCTTGATTTTTTAAGCAGGACCTACGTAGACATGTGGAAAAAATACATTTATTTAAAGGTCAGAAACATCCTAAACAGATGTTTTGTGTTTAAAMGTTAAAGATCGGATACAAAAAACTCACCTTTCTGTTTCATTTTGACATGGTTTCTCTTTTTCTGCGGCTTYGGGAGACCAGGGACGGAAAGCAGAGGGCCTCTGTTTCATCTGGACCTGTTTCAGGTCCTGGACAAACAAACAAAAAGAACAACCACCTCAGATAAAACTTTACCACTAAAGCAATAAATCAGCCATGACAAAAGAGAAATCAGCCATGACAAACGTGTTTAAAGGCCTTTCTGTTCAAACAAGGAAGCCACATAAACGATAACGTAACAAAAGGAGAAATAACTTTTGCATCGGACCCTGATGTTTTAATCCTTAACGCCGCCATGGAGCTTACAAACCTTGTGTGCAGACTTGGACAGTGACTGCAGCCAATCAGGTTTCCTGTCTTTGTCAGCAGGCGGAGATTTGTCCAGTTTGGACCTCTTGGGTGGGATCGGGCTCGGCGACTGAGGAAAGAGCAGAATCATCACCATCCTCACAGAGATAAAGTGCACACATTACATCACAGAGTACAGTAGACGTTTTTTTTAAACCACACCTTCTTAAAAAAAAAAAAAACAAGGCTACGCTCTGACTTTAAATGGCATTATTCATAAGTAGGACACAGATTTGTCAGAACATGAAGGGATGTTTTACAATTCTTTCCCACACTAAATAACAGAAGGTCATGGAAAGGGAGAAAATTATAGAGTCAGAGCGAGGCGAAGAGGGAGGACGGAAGATGCGTCTGTGTAAGCGTTCAATCTCTGAGCTTGGCATGTCTGCATGCGTGTGTGTTTGCGCGTACGTGCGTGCGCGAGCAGGTCTTTGAGCTGAGCAGACACTCGAGCCGGTCTGGCTGGCAGCCAGCGAGGCTACATCGCTCCCTGCCAAGGAGAAGAGGCGCCGTCAGGTGGAGCAGATCGACTCCACAAACCGCAGAAACACAGCGAGGCAAAAGGCAGACCCAGACGGAGAGAGGAAGAGGAAAATTAAAGCGATTGCACTCGGTTCTGACAGAAGATGGAGTGGAAGGGTTTTCGAAAAACGCRTTCACAGAACTGCAGAGTCATGTGCAGTTTGAGGGCGTTCTCAAAACCAGAGGGGGGGAAGTATCTGTCTGCTGGAAAACCCTGAAGCCCACAAGCTTTTTCTCAGATATACAGTATCCCTGTGTGTGTGGCAAGCTGCAGGCCCCAGTGTTCAGATGGTTAACCTCCTCCTTGTCAGACTGAGGATATGTTTACCTAGGCAGGCACAGAGGCCAGCACAGACCTGCCTGTCGCTTTCTTACTCACYACAATGACATCCTGCCTGCAAGGATGGCCAACACTCCCATCTCCTCCCGTGCGAGTCAAGAGAAATGATTAGAGCCTTAAAAATCCTCAATGGAAAAAAAAACACACACACACACACTCCTGCGGGGTTACGTGTATTTGTGAAATCCTAATYGCCGCTTAGCTGTAATCACCTAAATATGGAAATGTAACGAGAAAGCCGTGGTTGGTAATGAATCACACCTAAAAGATTTTCTTGCACAAAGCCGGGGTTTGTGTGTTTGGTGCGTGCGCAGCGCTCGTGCAGCTATGAGTGGGTTGTGTGGGAAGGCGCGTGCGTGAAGGGGTGCAGAGACATATGTGTGTGTGGGAGTGTGTGTGTGTGTGTGTGTGTGTGTGTGTGTGTGTGTCTGATACACCGCGCTCAAGGGTGGAGGTGGTAATTTAGGTCTGGCACAGCACACCCGAAAATACAGATAAAGTCTGCTGCAGTTCTAAAACAGTGACTTGAGTTAACGAACTGCTTTAAAAGAAAAGCTTCAGTTTCTTTAATCAGATTTATATCTAACTGTTGGTTTRAAGCAGCACGAGGCGCACATATTTGCCCAGACACTCCTCCACCCGTCTAACCAGTCACCACACACCTTTCACACACAAAGCTTAGTGTTTGGTTTTGCTACTGTAGGTTAAATCTTTTAACCCAGACCTCCTCGGTGCTCAGCAGATGACTCGACCCCGCACCTGCCTGGGTCTCGGCCAGTGGTATTCCAAGAGCTGCTTGCCCTGGTGTAATCAGACTCTGTAATTACTGACGTGACTGCCTTTTTTTTCCCTGACAAAGGATGTCTGCGTGTCTGGTACTATTTCTACCCTGAGGTTTTCAGCTCCAGGAAGGCTCTGAGCAGTAGACATAATAGAGCCAGAAAACAGACACTCCCAGACACCACAAGGGACCTGCTGGCTAAATATGACACTGACCTCACAGGAGAGCAGCCGCACGGGCTTTACTCACCACCACATCATAGACATTGCACGGCCACAGAGACATGACAGCCTCCTCCTCGCACATCTCACTGCCTCGCAGGTCCCACAGGGGCCTGGATCGGACATCCATCCCTCTCTTTCTCCCACACTGAAAGGAGAGGGCGACTTCCTCTGAGGAGTTTGCTTTGGCTGAGTCCCCTGTGGGAACTGAGTCTTGAGTGGGAGGGGGGGGGGGGGGGGGGACCACAGAGGAAGCACTGAGCTGAAGGAATGTGTTCTTGAAGGCCAAGTACAGCCTCTCCTTTCAGACTCCATTCAAGCACTGGCCTTTTCAACTCACTATTGTAGGAAATTTCTTTGAGGAACTGTAATGAGGGAGCAGTTCAAAACAAACCTGTGGGCTAAACAGGTTCTAATAGCAGCTGGGCAAGAGTAGACATGCTTTATTTTTTAATTAGTGCTATATAATGGCATTGCAGCTCAAACATAGGACCCAACTGTTTCCACGCTGGCATGCCTGGTGATAAACACACAGCACGTTGCAAACATATCAATATCTGTTTGAACATCTTGCTGTTTGGCCTGCCAGCTCAGTAATGGCTTCTCGATGTCTTACTGTTTGGTTTGTATTTAACATGAAGACAATCACCATATATATTTATTGATCTCAACGAGTTAACGTCCGTCTTAAAGATGAATGCCATTCGATGTCGAAACAAAATTTATAACAGACCGAATGGGGGCATGATGTTGATTTTATTTCTTTGGGCGGAGCTTCAGCAAACAGTAAAAATACTGGTTAAAGGTTCAGTTTAGTCAAATAACACAACAGTGACAAAACAATGACTCAGTTTTACAATTAGGGTTGAACACACTTTGGGTTGTTGTCACCACCGGAAAATTGTATTTTAGAAATTGTGCAATCTCATGACAAACTGTTTATACAACAGTTTATTTTTGGCAATAATGTGAGCTAAGGAGCAAGAAATAAGACAAATGGTGTGCAGAAACAGAGACGAGTGTAAAACAAGATGGTAATTGAACAGATATGAGTCTAAACAGGTGAAAAAAAGTGTGGTTAAGGTGCGCCCTTTTGGTCTTTCATTGGAATTTTACATTAATTCCGGCTGTCAGTGTTATACTGCAACAAATACACTGCTATGATTTATGAGTTAAAATGAGAAATCATTAATCAGACAATGAAATTAACGTCTGCATTACCTGACATCTTCATTAGCTCATCAAAATACAAACAAAACAGACTCTCAAATGTACTGGAGCTCTTCTTTATACCGCCGTTTTAACGTGACCAACTTTCTCATAACATGGAAGTTTCATAGTGACAAAGTCAGGACAACAAACCAGATGTTGAGTTGTAAGTGGAAAAACTGATGTCATTGTGGTGGTTTTTAGAGCAAAAGGCAACAGAGGAGATGTGCAAATTAGGCTTCATTTGTCAAGTTGAAACTGATACACCAAAAACTAAGTGAAAAAGGGTTTTTTAAAATCTTTGTTTTTAATTGTCGAAAAAAAATGCTGTTTGATTTTGAGAAGAGGTGCAAAAAAAGTTTGTTTTGCAAATTATCCGAGTTAGTGTGGAGAGGGCCTCAGACTAAAGGATTGGTTTTCATACACTAAAATTACTYTCTATATAATAGTAATAATAATAATTTGAAACATTTACAAAAACATGAGACTAAGCCGTTTAGCTTGGCTTAGTCTGTATGAGAAAAGTGGGGGAAAAAAGGGGTAAAATCCACTAACCCAAACAAGTTAGACAGCAAGCTTTTCACATGATGGTTAACAGATGGACTTCCTTTTTGGATTTATACAAGGCTATCAGCTATAGCTCTTGGATGTATGGACCCACTATTGCTATAGTGATGCAAATGGGATTCTGCTCAGGAACAGCACAAACGCAAGTAAGTGTGCCTTCTTTTATGTAATCTTGCTAAATTTTTCATGCTTTTCAGAAGCACACAGTGTGATAGAAAGGCTAAAATGTAAGCCTCTACATCTGTTGTGGCTCTAAAAACACACACACTAATGAAATTAGGAGGAAACAAAAACACGGTGCAACACTCATCTGGTGAGACAAAAATAGTTCCCCCAGATGAACTTCCTAGGGCAATGGTCATACAATACCAACGCACGCTGCAGGATAGGGCAGCATTAAGAAAAGTGCACAGCAACAAGACACAACAGTTTCAGATTACAGCCCCCCCCAGCTCCTAAACCCCTGAATGTAATCCCCAGATCGACGTGTGCTTAGAGGGGCGCTGTCTCACTCAAGGGCACACCAACTGGCACGGCTCTGTCAGGTTACAGCCTTAGTTGGAAGTGAGGGAATACTAGTTTTAGTAACACGATCCGTGCAGTTCGATATAGATAAAGTTGCAGCGATGCCTTGAGCTCTCCATTCAAAATGCATAAATCACATGACAGTCCCTTGATTTATATAAAGCCCCTCAGTCACCTCATGCAGTGACAGCTGGGCTTGAAAACTAACGGCGAATGTCTAAAACACCTCAGAAACTTTATCCCTATTCYACACGGACGCAGCTCCCATGTCCCCTCTAAATCGTAGCTCAATTTATTCATTTACTCACATCGCCACCGTGTCCTTTTTGAGGACATTTTGTTTATGTAGTAAACTGAGTCACGGAAGTATAGTCGCAGAAAGGCAGCCTACCAGGCTTGGCATAAGGCCGGCATTACAGTGGAGCTTATTGGATTGTCCTAATTGTCTTTGGGATTGAGAATTGATGAGGTCTTAGGTGGATGGAGAACAAGCTGCTCTTCCTAAAGGTGGAAAATCTCCTCGGAGATTCACACAGCYTGTCAGCTTCAAGGTAGCAGAACGTAGCGTTAAAGGCCTGTGACGTGCATATCCTTTCAAATACAAAGAGTAAAACAAACAAAAACAAAGCTGGCATTTTTTTCCCTGAATTGGCTCAGCCAAAGTGAAACAGGAAAGTGACCTCAAAGGGGAACTCTTTAAGAAGATGAACTTTCTGGTTTTTGTTTATAAAAATAATATTATTTGAAGTCTGACTCTTCATCTCGCTCTGACATTGACTCAAAATAATCTAAAGAAACAGATTCTGCTCTACATTCTGTGTTTTTAGCATTATAGCAATGCTCTGTTCACATGCTGACATTCCCCTTTGACATCACTTCCTGTTACTTCACACATGAATATCTCA